AAATCAATTCAAAAGGTGATATTCGTAATCACCGTGAAATTTTGCATCGAATGATATAGTTTTAAGTGAAAAATAAGAACTTGCAATTCTTTTGAATTAGCGGCGCCTTATAAAAAAATACTAACAAATATTATGTAGCCAATGACGTTATAATGTTATCGTCGTTTGTTTCTTACCATTTTCAAAATAAATATTTCAGTCATGCCTATATTGTTTATTTTGATTAAATTTAATAACAAGAGTATTAACATGAATGCAGAGAAAACTGATTACTTTGATTTTATGTAAAATACAAAGCTTCGATTTGAGCTATAATCATCATCAACCATGTACAGTAGGGACGGTGTAGTTAACTATGACAAAAAATTTTTGGTTTTCGCTTAATCTCTATTTGCTCAGTCATTTTTTAAAAATAATTCAAGTGTGACAGTTCAGTTCACTGCGTAGATTGTATCTAATGAGATGAATTTTTCTTACGAAATCACTTTACTTATGACATGTAAAAAACATTGTTCATTTGAATGAAGTTACCTAGAACACAGCGGCCTCTATCACCACCTGAATATTTGAGGCATTTTGTAGCATCTCGAAGGTTCGACCTCTCAGTGTACCACCTGAAAAATGAATTTCTACAGCAAAAAGGCGCACTACCTTAGTTTTGTTTGAGGCATTGCGCCTCAAATGTGCCACAGGATAGACGCCTCTGCTGGAACCGAAATCAAGACAAAAATATTGATCCCGTCCCTGTTATAAATAACACGACACGATTTTTTTCTATTGTGTTCTTTGCTTTTGCGTTCTGGAACGATCGTTGTCAACAGTGCGAGGAAGAGAAATAATATAGAACAATGCACTATATTGCAATATAGAAAATAAAGCTAAAGTAATGATTGTTGTCTGCATATGTTTAATTCTCATATATTAACTGGTCAATACGAGTCAAGGATTTGTCATATTTCTATTCCGTAATATTATTCATACTAGAAAGATGTCTGTTTCTTTTAGTCATCAGAGGTTATCGAGTGCAGTTCAAATTTGTGTTGTTACAGTGTTTGTGTAAGAGCAAATCACAGTGTTCGAAAAAGGGAGAATGTTTAGTCAGTCAATACATGAAAAATACGATAACCGAAAGAAAAATGAAATAATGAGTTTTGTCTTGTGTTATGTGAATACAGAGCAGAGGTGGGCGAAACGGTACTATCTTGCGAAAATTCGCGAGACGAGACAAAACGAAACGAGTTTTCTTAAATTATTTAAACGAGATTAGACAAAATTCGTTCTTTCTCAGCCCATGATATACTGACGAATGACGTCACAAAAATTGATTACAGAAGTGCAGGAAGACTTTTATCTCTTTTTTTCATAAACTTTTTCTATTTTTGAAATAAGTATTAATAAATAGATGAAGATAGAATGACGGTAGTTTCCTTTACACAAGACGAAATAGACTTGAAAATCTTTTTCGATATAAAACGAGATGAAACAAAAATGTTACGCGACAAGACATTTAAAAAAGTCGCTTTGCCCACCTCTGATACAGAGGATCGCATATAACTTCTTCCAAAATCTTTGGCTAGTGATCTAGTTAAATGAACAACGAACAATTCGCAATTTTAGAGGATCCCACCATCAAACTTTAGTTATTCTGTGTTGTCGCCTACATCTCGATTGTTTTCAGATACCATCGAAATTTAACAACTATTTCTTTCAAAATGCCCTTCGAACCAAAAGCCGCTGCCGATTATATTATCAAATGGTTAAATGATTATAAAACAAAGAATCATATTCGAGGATTTATTGTTGGTATTAGTGGTGGTATTGATTCAGCTGTTGTATCAACATTATGTGCCAAAACAGGCAGTGATACACTTGTATTAGAAATGCCTATACATCAAGATTCCACTCAGGTTGATCGTGGTCGTGAACACATTGAATGGTTACAAAAATCACATCAAAATGTTCGTTCATATGATGTTGATTTAACAAAAGTTTTCGATACGTTTGAAGCAACAGTGACGCCCATAGAAAAGTCTGACAAAAATGCTGATAATCAAATGGCTTTAGCTAATGTTCGTTCACGTTTACGAATGGTATGTAATTCCCTTAACGAAAGTCAGGATCTTACGAAATAAATAGTTTCTTTGTCTGTTTGTCTATCCACATAGCAACGTATATGATAAAAATATGATGTTATTCGGAATTTCCGAAATAATAATCAAAGATTTTAGGAAGATGCATTGTAACCATTTTTTGCGTTACGCCAGTTATATTTTTGCATTCTTTTTTTGCGTAACCACGGAAAAAAAATTTTGAAATTTTTATATGGATGGTAAAAATCCTAAAAGAATTTGGGTTCATGGTGCTTTGGTCAAATTTTTCTAGTTTTTCCTAGGAAAAATTAAAAAAATTTATAACTCGATCAAGAAAAGTAATTAAGAGCTGAATTTTTTTCCTATTGATTAGTACACACGGTAAGCTAATCGAAATTATGTAACTTCAATGTTTTGTAACTCCGATTTTTAAGGAGGTTTCTGGAGACTTCAGTATATACAGCCAGCTTGAGAAATCTTTTTTGTTTTCATAAATGAAATTAGACTACAATACCATATCATTTATTAAAGTTTGAACAGTTTTAGTGGAAAACTAACGATTTTGGAAGCCATTTTATTATGAGCCTATCAAAGGGAGAATCTATGGAAAACCTAAAATTCAACAACTCGGTACTGGAATGAGCTGAAAAGCTCTAAAATTTTAATAATAACTTTTGACCAAAGCACCATGGACCCAAATTCTTTTAGAGTTTTTACTAGCTCGATATCCTCTACCGGTTGAGATATAAATCATTGAAAACAGAAGTGGGCGCCTAGATATGTTCTCTCATCAGTCTCTGCATGACTCAAATAAAAAAATAAAATAAAATAAAAAACAACTAACAACAAACGAACACAAATGAAAATTTTTTTTCCTATTATTAATACTATATAAAACGTCAAGGGATCGAGTAAAAAAATCATGGATGAACGTTAGCTGCTCACTTTAGTGAAAAAACAGAATAAATATTACACTTAATTCTTTATAGGTTTGTTTGTATTATTTTGCCTCATTGCATGGATATGTTGTTGTTGGTACAGGAAATAAAGTCGAAGATTTCGGTGTTGGTTTTTTTACAAAATATGGTGATGGTGGAGTAGATATTTCACCCATTGCCGATTTAATGAAATCTGAAGTTCGTGCAGTTGCGCGTGAATTAGGTGTTTGTAGTTCAATTATTGCTGCTCCACCAACAGATGGTTTATTCGGTGATTCACGTACAGATGAAGATCAAATTGGTGCCACGTACGATGAATTAGAATGGGCAATGAATCATTTGGATGATAGAAATAATGCGAGTAAACATTTAGATGAGCGACAAAAACAAGTTATCGATATTTATAATAAACGACATTCAGCTAATTTACATAAAATGATCGAAATACCAAGATGTATTTTAAAAGAACAATTTCAAAAATAATCAAATATTGACCAAAGCAACATCTGTGTGCAATAGACTATTTTTCTATTTATTTCCGCTAACAAAAATATTTCTCTTAAATCTCAAATCTATATTTTTTAAACTAAATCTTCAATGCATATTTTAAACTATTTTATTGCTTGAAAGAGTATATTTTATAAAATACGAGAACAGCGCGTGATAGAACTGACTAGCTCTTTTTGTTAGCAGACGATTTAGGATACGTAAAGAATTTTCAATATGCTAACTAATTAGGCCAAATCTGTAGTTAGATGTTTTAAATATCTTATTTTGTGACTTCATTTGTATGTCGAAGAGACAACGCATGGATAGTTTTATTTTTTTTTTCCTTTTTTGCAAATGCAGATATTTATAACAACAGATTAAAATTCAATACAAACCTATAACCAACGAAAGATATTAAAGCACAAGAACAAATAAAAAATCTTGCCAGGCAGCTCCTAGCGGGACTGAAGTATGAAACTCTTCCTATTTTATGCAAATGTGATACTTGGAAAAAAGGCCTTATATTGTTGTCGTTCTATTTGATTAATTTTTAAACACACGCCTCAAGTACGTACATAAACCATTCAAAAATATTTAACAAGAGGATTCGATCTACTGGTTCCAAATAAATTTCGTTTTAATCAAACATTATTAAAATCATTGGAATATTCAACAAAAACTTTTTACAAAAACATAGGTGCCTTCAATGTACAAAAAGAATTTGTAAATATTGTACAACGAAATGTAAAGTCCACTCATTTTTAGGTTTCTGAAATAAAAAAAAGAAATATCATTATCGCAATCCTGTAAGATCATTACCTTAGTCTCGAAAGATCATTACAATACCTCTGTAAGAGCATTGCACTAAGAGCCCTTAAGATCATTACTGTAGTCTCGTAAAATCATTCGTCTAGATCTATCAGATCATTACCCTGCTCTAGTACGATCATTGCTGCCATTAAGGAGGGGGGGGAGGAGTAAAAAAATCAGTAAAATCGCTAAGGTTGTGAGTAAATTATTTCACCTCTGCTTCGCAATCTTAGGAGGAGTTTCACAAAATTTATAGTGATATATACAGTGGACAACAAAATTGATTATACACTCCTCATATTAACTCGTTTTTCTCCCTCTTTTGACTCATACGTACTGCAGAATTTTAAACGAAAGAGCGCAGAAAACGGAAACGAAATACAAAACAGTCATTTTTTTCTATTGTTTCGATAGGTTTTTGTAATGCTTCCGGTAAAAAATTCATATTTTCGCGAGAAAAAATATTTTTGTTTTTCAAATCGTTTTGTCAAATTAAGATGAAAGTGCTGCTGTGTGAAAAATGAACAAATTCAACTATATGATCAATTTTGTTGCACAGAGAAGTCGTCTATCTCACTCTTTCTCACCTAGTAGCACAACGACTATATGACATGAGCACTTTCTATTTTAAGCAAATAAACTACAATAAGTTTACAACATTTTAGCGAAACTTCGACGTTTACAGATGATTTCGTTTCAGAGAAATATCAATCATAAGTTAATATGAGGGGTGTATGATCATTTTTGTTGCCCACTGTATACACAACAATCACGGAAATACACATAATGTTATGCTGAGGTATAGTGCAAATTTTTTTACATGATCTATTTCTTGTGTCATATGTTGTAAATAACAAATAACTTTAAGAGATAATTAAAAAGTGTGGAGATATTGCAATAGCAATAAATAGTGAGAATTTTTAAATTCAAATATCAGTAAGCTTAATATACTACTGTACTTATCATTCACTAAATTCAAATGTTATAAAAAACTTTCTACGGTGCCGAAAATTCAAAATGTAAGCATCATTTTCTTTTCGGTTAGATTATACATGGCTGGAAAGAGCGCATCGAACTGAGCAAGAAAAAGTTGGTTTTAGCTTTTGGAAGCAGCAAAACTCTTAACACTTATAAAAATGGGTAAATTTACGGAGACGTTCTAAAAATGTCTTTTTCACATCTGTGCAACAATAACATTTCATCTCATAGAAAAATTACAAATACTAACTTGTAAATAATAAAACAAATAATTTCTACCGTAATCCCGAACTTTGTTACTGTTGTGGTTTTTTGTTTTTGTTTGTATGTCTTTCTTCGTTTGTGTGTTTGATACTTATGTTATGTATGATACTGTGTCAGATGTTGACCAGTTAATAGAAATAGAAAAAATTAAAAAAACTCGTTATTCATCAAAAATGTTAATGTTTATTCATCAAAAATGTTTTTAGGGACCTTCTAGAAAACTTTTATAGATCTTGAAAGTATTTCCACTGGGTTTTGCATCATTTTATACCTGTTTAGAGAGTTTTTGACTATATTCAGCCCAAAAATAAAAATTTTATTAAAAAATGACTTGCCCGATTTGGGACAGAAATGTAAAAATTTTAATAAAAGTGGAATTTTTCAGTACCGAAGTAAAATAAAAATAAAGTCGATATATACTTTTGAAGCTCGTTATCCAACCAACGAATAAGATGAGATAAAAATTTTGCCTAAAAGCCTAGATAAGTTTACGAAATAAACTTTGAACGGGTCTAATTTCGGCTGTCAGACCCATAATATTAATGCTTTCGAAGTCAATTAAGTAACATTTTTAATTAGTTTTTGATGCTACATCAGTAAAATTTAGTTTGAGTACTTGAAAAGAACGATAAAGAAAACATTTAAATTTTCTTAAAAATGAAACGTTTCTCAAAAAAATTCGACCCTCAACCTTAAAAAATGCTTCAAAAAGCTAGAATCAACTTTTTCTTGGTCAGTTTAATGCACTCTTTTCCAGCCATGTATAATTTAACCGAAAAGAAAATGGTGCTTATATTTTGAATTTCCGGTACCTTATAAACAGTGTAAATTATCGACTTGATTAGTAACAAACACAATTAATCAACTTTAAATTCTACACGTTTTATACTTGTGTCATAGTCTTTTTGGCTTATTTCAATAATAAACAAATATTTGTATTATCTGTCACAATGAGAAAGTCTACTGTTCCTAAATAATCAAAATTTTTTTCATACTCTCTTTAATGTATTTACCAATGATCTTTCATTTCAATGTTCAATAAATTGGCTGCAGCCTCTTATCGACAAAAACAAATATGAAAGTTAAGTATTTCATTATTTTTTGCTATTAAGTATAGAGACACAGAATTGTCACAAATATCGATAAAATTTTGTGTTGCACAATTGTATGGTGTTTTTGCTAGATGTTTCACCAATTATTGTGAGTAAATAAATCTTGCATACAGGCTCGGGTCGTTTTAGTAAATAAATTTGACTCCAATTCAAGAAATTTTCTGTGATTTATTACCAGACAAACATTCTTTCATTTTAAACTGTTATAAAAATCGAAATACATAATCACATCTCAAAATATTGTACATGGTATGAATAATATGGTCGTTTTTCCAAATTATCAATGTTTTCAATACTTCTAACCTGATTCGATTAAAATGATATGTATCACTCAGTTAGTGAGTGATATTTTATTGAAAATATTTGTTTGATAAATTTACAACACTCAGACTAAAAAAATCCAATGTGGCACACAAAAGATTGACGTTTCTATTTTTTATAGAAATAAACACAAAAACAAAATATATTTAAAACGCTTTTTTATAGAAAAACAAAATAATAAGTACCAAACAATCATTATATCGTATTTACACGGATTATGGTAGTGCATTCGTCTTAAAGGACAGCCGCAGTTTTCGTTGCTCCTCTATGTTAGTGTACACTATTCCCAATACCATCTTTCGGTTAATATAAAGGTGTTTCACCATTTTAGCCCCACAAGGGGCTGCCGTAACAAGGTTTTTTACCA